AATGGGGGCAGGTGGCGGAGAGGGGCGCGGTGTGCTCAGCGGCCAGGCTCTTACCTGCATCACAGGTGGAGGCGTGGGCGCCCGGGCTGTCCTTCCCCAGGGCGTCCGTCCCGGCCGCGCTGCCAGACGCTCCCTTCCCCGACCCCAAACTCGGCTGGAGAGCGGAATGCCTCGCGGGAGAAAAGGCGGGAGGAAAGCTCCTTCCAGACGCGGGGAGTGTGCGCTCGGTCCGGGGAGCAGGCGCGGGGCGCTCGGTAATCGCTGTCCTTCCAGGAAACGAAAACGAAAGAGCGGATCCGGCTTCCACTCCCCCGGCGGGGTTGGGGGAGGGCAGGGGCGGCCCGGCGGGAGCAGAGCCCAGCGCTGGGTTCCGCAGTAATAATAAAACCTTCAGAGTATTTGCTTAGGAAGCTTTCAATATTCAGTATTTTTGGAAGTGTCAATGGAGTACCGACGGGGTGGTCAGAGTAATCTGGCCACTCAGAGTAATGCTAGTCCACAGCCTGCTCCGCGGCTCTGAGTCTCCTTGGGCAGGAGCAGCCCTCCGAGGATGGGACGAAAGGCCGTGCCCAGTGCATTTCCCGTGTATTTCGGGGTGGATGTGACTGTCCCATATATATTCTTCTTATGCTTCTCGCTCAGTTCCCAATTTCTGGTACTAAGCAGATGCTATTGTTGTAACAATAAAAACTAAACGCAATTATTTAGAACAGGATCCTATATACGTACAGCTGTTCACTGTTTAGCCCTGTCTGGCTCCCTCACTGGCAACGTCCCCAACTCTTGGTCTTTAGGCTGCAAGGGACACAACTGCTCATTGGACCCCAACCCTCACCTTCCCAGTAAGGAGACTGGCGCCCCCAAGCTTGGTCACGTCAGCTGTGCTCCCTGCAGGGAGAATTCACATTTACCTCCTCTGTCTTCCTCGCCACGGAATAAAGAAGCCCAGCAAAGAATCCGCAAAGGCAGGGACATCACACGCTTAAATAAGGACAGTCCATGCCTTGCACGCGTGTCCTTGGCAAACGCGACCCTCTCCCCTCCCCTCTACTCACGGAGTCTTCCTGGCAGCTTGCAGATGCCCCGCTGGCCCTGCAGGTCCACGTGGACGTCACATCTGGCCTGGGCCTGGGCGCCTGGAGGTGGTGTGGCTGCCGTGGGGCTCATGGGAGAGCCGGCCAGTGCTCCCTCCTAGAGAGGAGACACCCAGGCAGCCCGCGGTGAGCGCCTGGTGTAGGCTCCGCATCCCGAAAGGCCTTAAGAATTTTTTCAAAGGGAAGGAGCATCCATCTCCGTGTGGGTCATGGAGGTAGGGCCATGTGTGTCCTCACGTGATGCCCTGAACATATTGCACACAGCGGACGCTTGAGACATTCATCTTCCCCAGCCAGCTTTCCGTGCCTGTGCCTGACCCACCAGAAGGCCGCCCTGGTCCTGACTTGTGAGCTGGGAATCTGAAGGCCTAATCATACTCAGTGGGAACCTGAGGGGCCAGGATAAAGAGGCCTTAACTCAGAAATAAACAAACAATGAAATCCTATTTCCAACAGAGAAAACGACAGGCTACATTTCTGAACCCCAAAGTCCCAGCAGGGGCGTCTGTATCTTTACAGTTTTCCAATCAGCTAGGCCCCAGGGAGGTGTGGCTCTCTCCTCGGGGTGAGGGGATGGAAGCGGCAGGGCTTTGTAGAAACAGGAGGCTCCTTGGGGCCTGTGCCCAGACACAAAAAGTGAAAGTGGAACCAAGTCACTTCTCACGCCAGGCCCTGGGGGAGCCGCACAGTCATCGTTGGTGTCTGCGGAGGGCGATCTGCAGTAAGAGGCGGTGGACCTGAGCCAGCAGAGCGAACTGCAGGCCTTGGTGACTGCAGAGGAGGGTTCACCAACACCTTCGGGGCAGTTCCCATCCACCTCTGGCTGCCCGCATCCTGCCCCGCATCCTGCCCCCGCTGGTGCTGCCTCTCAGGTAACCAGCCTCAGAGGCGGTGGGGGCTGGCCCGGCTGGGGGGGCTTGTCTTCTCCTCCGCCCTTTCAAGCAGAGGACGGAAGCCCAGGCCTGTGACCCCCCCCTGGGGGGAAAGGCCCACGGGAGCTGCTGAGGGAGAGCTCTGGCCTCCAGGAGAGACAGGGAGGAGTGTGTGACTCAGACATGGAAATGGGCTTGGAGAGAGGGGGGCAGAGAAAGGCCGGGAGGTGGGAGGATGCCCAGCTCCCCGGTACGGGTCTGAGGCTCCCAGGGAAATATGGCAAATGGAGGGGGGCTCTAGAGAGAGGGGCCCTGCGGTGGCTGCGTGGGTCAGCTGTGCGGGTCTGGCTTGTGCAGAAACTTCCAGAGACGTCACACCTGATTGGTGTAGGGTGAGGAGAAGGGAGGAGGGGGCAGCACCCAGAGGGGTGGGGGCTAGAGGTGAGTGAGGCGGGGAGTGAGGGCGGTGAGGATGGATGGTGAGGGTGGGGAATGTGTTGGAAAGTGAGACTCCAGCCAGGGAAAGGGCTGATAAAATGAGTGTGGGAATTAGGTGGCGGAGAGGGGATGGGGCAGGTGGCGGA